TATCTCTATAGAACAGGGGTAGGTAAAATACGGCCCGCGGACAGGCTTTGTCCAGCCTGCAGCAGATCACTTGGTCCAACCTGGCCCAGGCATCATCTCATGGTGGTGTGTCCTGCCACCCCCTGGTTAAGCAGGGCCGCCCTGAGCTACCCTGTGGTTCCTCTGCACTGCCTCCACTGCCCTATGGGGCAGCATGGAGACAGCAGTGACAGCACAAGGCAGCCCAGTGCAGGCTCCACACAGCTGCTGCAGGAAGTGCAGGGCAGCGCTGGGCAGGGCGTTGCTTTCCCCTTGCACCGAGCACACTTCTGCCCTGCCAATGCTGCTATTGCTGCAGCTGTTCAGAGTGAGCAGGCAAGTCTGCAGCAGGCAAACGGTGGGTTGGGGCTGCACACAGGTCCCCACCAATACCGCAGGGCTGGGAACAGCAGCTGCCACTACCTGGGCTGCCTAGAAAGGCAATCCAGTGGAGAGCTGCCCCAGCCTCACTGTGTGCTCAGGGGCCGGCAGGGCACACCATGGGTGGGCGGTGTGGAGTAGACGCAGGGGCTGGGTCAGGGCTGTGTGCACATCTGGCTGATTCACTCCTGCCAGGGCCAGTCTGGAGCAGGCACAGGGTGTGCTGGGGCTGCGCACTGCTGGCAGTGGTGGGGAAGCGCCACAGGGCACACAGGCTCCAGGCTGTTGCGAGGTAGGCATGTGTGCTGACTCACTCAGGGGGGTGCATGTGGGGGGCCTCCCATGCTCACCCCACCAAACCCACAAAATCTCCCCCGCAAACTTCACAACTACACTCTCCCCTACACACAATCTCACACCCCACCAACACCACACCCACCCCGCCACACATACTCATGGTCTCTAGAAGGAGCCCTGCTCACTACTACCTGCACACATCCCACTACACACCCCCCCAGCCACTCTCCCTCTCCACACACCCCATAAAACCCATACCCACCCACACATCCCCAAAAACACTCCCCACTAGCCCTCCCCATACCCACCCATGTCCACACCCCCCCCACATATACCCACACCCACCCACAGCACCCAATATACAAGAGTAAGACTTCATTTTGAGCTATTATGCAATCACCTCTATATACATGATGCAAACCACACAAATCAGGACAAAAATCTTTTTAAAATAAAATTAAAATATGTTATTGTGGATGTTAGATTTTTAGTACTTTTTTCTGGTTCCAAGATGGCAAACCCCCTTCCCAAAAGGGGTACTTCCAGGGCAAGGGTAGGGACTAATGGTGACAAAGGTCAGGGGTTAGGGGGTGGGACTTCCAGCACCAAGATGGTGACCAGGGGGTGGGGACTACCCCTGTGGCCCTTCACAGCTCACCAAAACTCGTGAAGCAGCCCTGTAGCTAAAATAATTGCCCACCCCTGCTGTAGAAACATTATGGAGATTTTGACATACTGACAATTTTTTTCTTGAAGAACGTCTGTCACAGCTGGGAAAGGTAATTGATCCAGGCAAACATGAATTGACTTTTGTATGACAAGTGAAAGGCATGTCTTGAATCTTCATCCCTCTCTTCAAAGATGTGTTAGATGACAAGTGTTTCTACCAGCTCCAAATAACATTTTAAGTAAATGATATATTACAGTATGATGTAAAACTATAATAGCTGTGGTTTTTCCCCCACTCTCAAATCTATGTACACAGATTACCCAGGGGGAAAAATAGATCTTTTCCCCTTGGAATGGAAAGATCCCTAGAACAATGACACCCCAGTGAGTGACCATCCACAACTTATCAATCAAGACTGAGAAGGGTAAGGACATAGAACCTGCAAGGCAGCTGGAATCCCTGCTGTCATATGTGACTTTTGATCCTCTTTCCTGTCATCCTTTCTTACTAGCATATCTGTGAACTATATAGCTGCTAAACACAAAATGAATTAATATAATCTTCCTCTAAGGCAGGATCCCAGATTGGCCTCATGCTGTAGACAACGAATTAAAAAAAAAAGAAAGCAGTAACTATTTGTAACATGTTGTTGAGATAGCAAACAACAGCCTGAAGCATCTGAGCAAAAGCCACTCCCTCAACTGACCCAAACTCTTTACTATCTGCTACTGAGTCTGGTACTGAGTCACATGCTGATGGTGAATGTCTTATCCACACAACAGCTCCTTTTACACAATATTAAAATATATTCCTCACACTTGATAAACAAATGTAAAAAACTTATAATTTAAATGGAGAATATACAACGCAAAGACTTGTTTTCTAATTCAGGAATGTTAAAACCTAAACAAATTGGTCTGATTTTCAGAGATACTGATCAACCTCACCTCTCACTAATTTGAGAGAGAAATGTATATTCTGAGTACCTCTGGAAATCAGGCAATATTTATTTAGGGGTAGTTTTTTATTATTATTATTAACTAGGATTTGCACATTTTATACATCCCAACTTGAAATTATCATATTTCTTTTTTCCTTCCTAACTTTAACAACTTCTTCCCAAATCCTAGTTGAATTAACCTGATTTCCTGTCCCATAAATTATCTCCAACTATTCACATTGTGACTATGTTCAAACAACAGCCTTACAGCTCACTTACAAATACAGTCACTTTTTAACAGGCATTAACACTTAACTAGAATCTATGCTTGGTTGTACAGGGTTTGTATGTGCAAGTACATTTCTAGGAAAAGGTTTTACTGTGGCCTCTGGTATAAAAACTATGAGATGATGTTGCATATCAACCTGTTTCATTTCCCTTTAGTGTTAGTGAGGGTTCCAAGTCCAGTTGTGGGCTAGGGAGCCTTTACAACATCTCTCTAAATAAGGGATGATACAATATGCAAGTATAAAGCAAAATCCTCCTTTTCTATGAAAATTATGCATATAGTGTATTCAAATTACTGTGAGGCAGTATTTGAGTTCCAAACTTAACACTCCCCACCCGCCATGGTGGGAATCTGCTAATCCTGAACTTTAGATTAATTTCCATGACATTTCAAAACAAGACTATGGCAGCAAGCAATCTCCATTTTCCAAAAAAGACACCAGACTGCTTTATTTTTTTCCAACTACACTTGAGATTGCCAAATACAGCAGTAATATATCTGTTCTGAATGCCCTAAAGAGAATGATATGCCCTCATAAATTCTGTCAAAGCAGTAACATAGCAGGCAGGAGATGCAATTTCTTGGAGCCTTCAGAGAGATCCTCTATTTCAGTTTGGGAAATCTGAAAAGACAGTCCTATCTTACACCTTATGCAGGTATACAAATGAGTCTCTTTATATTGTACTATTAACAAAGTTAGGGTCAACTAACAAAGTTTGGGCATACTAACTGCAAGCACAGCTTTCCTCAAATGGCATACAAAGGAGGTTGGCACTGTGCGGGCCGGGAGCGATCCGAGCCCTTTTTCGTGCTGCACGCAGGCTGTGGCCAGCAGCCCGGGCACGCCGGGTTGGAGGGGGAAGGCCGTCAAGCTGGAATTAGGCACAAACGCGTATTGGCAGTTTAAAAGATTGTTTACTTACACCGAGATGGCAGTGGTGCAGGCTGAAAACTTGCTTAAGTTGCGGTTACAGACAGGAAAGAAGAGAGGCGGACAAGAGTTCTAGACTCGTGAACTCTAGCCCAATCCGGCTGAAGGCTCTGAACACGCGAGCCCGTCGTGTCAGCCGAAGAAAGTACTCGTCCGGAAGAGCTCTGAATAAACTCACACGAAGTTTGCTAGGCTCCGTGGGTCCTTCTGCTCACTCATTCACATGGAGTTTGCTAGGCTCCGTGGGTCCAGTTCTTTTGTGTGCGGGAAGGGATACGTCTGGATTGCACTCGGCGACGGGGAGAGGCTAGAGGTTGATCAGACCTCTGTTGCCTGCTTTAAATGCACTGGGTCCGTAAGGATCCGCAGCGCTTAGAGATCTTCACACAGCGTGAAGTCTGTCCCTCCTCCCTTGTTCGTGGAGTCCTCCAACTTGGGCGGAAACCACTCAAGCCTTTTATACGGCTAGCAAGCCAATCACTAGCTGCTACGTGGGAATAATTTAGAACTGGTCAATAATGGGACTCGAATTAGCATACAAATGGTGGGAACTCTTTGCAACGAGCATTTCTGTGCTGCAACAAAGAAATGCACCCTGCAAAGAAAGCTTCAAATTGGCGGGAAATTCTCCCTTGCACCGGGGTTCTCTTTTGCAGCAGAAAACTCCACCGTGCAAGGAAGCTGTAATTTAGCGGGAACAATTTAGCAGTGCTGAAGCACACAAAAACAAAAATCACACCCTTTGGGTTGTGACAGGCACAAATCTCATGCTCTTCACCATTTTAATAGCACTGGGTATACAATCATTTATTACAGAACATAAACTTTACACAGCTACAAGCGGATTCATTAGGCACCTGACTAAGCCTTGTATGCATACACCAAAAAATAAAAGTAACAATTTTGTTCTACTTATTGTATATATAACGTGCAGTTTGGATAAAGTCACGACATAAGATGCTGGGGAAGGAGAGAAAAAAAATTAGAATTATTTGGCTGATATTTTTATTTTATTTTTTTAAAGGAAAGACCCTTCTCTATACAATAAATACTGTGGAGTTCTCTTTCTTCTATAAGATACCCAAAATAAAGAAAGTTAGGCCACTCTACAGAGCTCCCACAAAAAAAACAAAAACAAAACAAACCCACAAACATTTTGGATAACATGCCTCCTGACCAATTTCAGGACTGGGTATGTGCACACATTCACCAAAGAAAGGTTGAAGAATTTAGAAAAACAAATTGAAAAACAAAATAAGTGATGATTGCTTAGACGTAGGTAGTCATCCAACATCACTGGGCAAATAGTTTTATTATGCACACTTGCTAGAAAAGTTACCATTTTGATTCTTAAAAAAAAAATACTGATACTACAACAAACTATAATGATGTTAATCTTACAAATAATGGTAAGGAAAACGAGAACATGTCCATGGTATCTTCTTGGTAAATCTAATTTTCCTTCTGCTTTCAGGATCACGGATTGAAACATTCTGAAATGCTCAACTCAAGTGCAAATACTTCAGGCAACCACTGCACTTACAATGCAATAGTAACCAAGCAAGTCATCCCCCTTGCATACAGTTTCATTTTCATAGGAGGATTCCTGCTAAACGGCACAGCTGCATGGATTTTCCTGCACGTTTCTAGCAAAAAAAGTTTTATCGTCTATCTCAAGAACATTGTTGTTGCTGACCTCATCATGAGCCTGACTTTCCCTTTCAAAATTCTTGCTGATACAGAAATTGGGCCTTGGCAACTCAACGTCTTTGTGTGCCAATATTCAGCTGTTGTCTTTTACTTAAATATGTATATTGGAATAGCATTTTTTGGCCTCATTGGTTTTGATAGGTACTACAAAATTGTAAAGCCTGGGTTTACATCCTTTGTTCACACAGTAAATTACAGCAAGATTATCTCCATAGTCATATGGGTATTGCAAATGTTTTTAGCATTGCCCAATATTATGTTAACTAGCGAGTCTCCAAAACAGGGAAATCCCAAAAATTGTATGAGTCTCAAAAGTGAATTAGGTAAATACTGGCATGAGGCTTCAAACTATATTTGCCTAGGAATTTTTTGGATTGTGTTTTTTCTATTAACCATTTTTTACAGTTTGATATTAAGAAAAATATACAATTCCTACAAAAAGTTCAGGAGGAATTCAGAAGCAACCAGGAAAAAAACCAATCGTAACATATTCAGCATCATGTTCGTGTTTGTCATTTGCTTTGTCCCATATCATCTCTGTAGAATTCCATACACACTAAGCCAAACCGGATCAAAATACACCTGTCAGTCAAAAAGACCTCTGTTCTATGCAAAGGAATTCACTTTGTTACTGTCTGCTGCAAATGTATGCTTTGATCCTATTATTTATGTCTTTCTCTGTCAACCCTTTAGAGAAAAATTATATCAAAAACTGAATCTTAAGTTGGGAGCTACAGGTGACATAGAAAATTCTAGATCTAGAAGGTCAAACACATTTCGTGAAAGTATAAATATTACATAAATTCAGAGATCTCTTGTGATAATAATGTTGAAAAATAGTGAAGATAGCATATGGTTAATAACTGAACTGAATAAATAAAAAGCATATGCAAGAACAAATAAGATTTCAATATAATAAGCAGTTCACATTTTATTTCCTACAACATACCATACATGTACTTATACTCTACTTCAATTTACTTCATTCTGTCATATGACAGAGTAAGTGATCTTTCTGTATTTAAGGAGGACAAAATAAAATTACTTGATTCGAATCCTGGAGCATGCCACATAAGTAGATAGACCTAAGAATAGACCAAGAAGCAGCTATATCTTGTTAAACTCCTGGGAAGCCAACCAAGAGCATAAAAGAAAAAACACACCTAGCGGAACGCGACTGAGACCAGCTGAGTAGCTTAACTCAAGACCTGAGTATTCTCAGGTAGTGCTAACTTTGGCAGCAGCCCATTTGGCAGAAGCCAGTAGGGCCAAGCCAAGCACTCAGGCCCTGGAAGGAAGAAAGTGCCCTGCATCAATCTAACAAAACAAAGACCTGAGAATGCCGAAAGGGGCGCCAACAAACATCAAGAGAGGGTGAAAGAAGAGACAAAGAATAAAAGGTACAAAGCAGCTGAAATCCTTAAGGTTCTACCTAGAGCTTAGAGAACCCTTGTTAAGTTATGAGATGAGAGGCAATTTTAAAAGTTTATGAAAATCTATTTGTAACTCTTACAGAAAAATCTTTATTCAATAAGAATTAAGCCACAGAGTTTTACAGGATATTATACAAGCTATAGCCTGTAAAAGAAAAAGTAAATCTTCTGTTTTTGTCTTTCTAAAAAAGACACTTTAATTATATTCTACAGTACAGACATAAAACTATCTATCCTAAATATTACATGACCATTCAATAAGTCTGTAGAAAAGTAAACTTTCTACTTAATTTTTCAGAGTTTTTCCATAATGCTCCAGGACTATTTTAGCAGACTGTTACAAACACTCTGGTCATCCAATTCACTTGAAATCATCACTGAAATTCCGTGAAAATGATCTCCAAGGGAAAACAGGCTGTGTTGCTTATGAGTTAGATTTGAGGCTCTCAATCTATCAAGTGTCCTGAGAGGATCATACCCCCATTCTACAGGCTGAGAAAATACAATTTGAGTCCAACCCAACAACTAGCTTCAAGCAGGCCTAGTACACAAATGTGACATACAGTAACATCTCAAACTGCCAGCTAACATTGTTAATGTTATGCATAACTACATTTTACAAGATACATAACATGCATGTCTTCATAACATACTGAAGATTTGCAAATAACTTTCTCTCTTGAATACCAAGTAGTGCATCAACATCTTCTGGTTACTTACAGCAAGATGGAAATGGAAGTCAAAAGGTGACTTGAAATGGTTTTGTAAGGGAGAAACTAAATACTTAATCAGATTACCAGAGACTGAGTCAAAATATGACTATGCAGTGAAGCAACCCATATGGCACGCAACAGGGTATGCACCAAAGAGATTGCACGCCAAGGCAGCTGTAACTTCACCAACCATGTCTTTGAAAGAAGTGAAGGGAAAATAAAGCAAGCAATTTGTGTATTTGGAACAAATGATTTGGTATTTTAGGTCTGTGCCAGCATTATGTTAATTTTTTCATCTTTGTACAAAATTAACTAAAAGTTACCCACATTTAAAACAGAAAGTGATGTTTATTTGTAATTTTCAAGATTGATCTTGTTTTCTTTTAAAATTTTACAGCAAAATTGAGTTAGTAAATGTAGTGTTCATATAAAGCGCCAAAACCAGGAAACTGAAATTGTTCATTCTACTTCATCAAAACTATAGCACTGGAAAACAAACAAGAGGTATTTCTAACATGGATACTGTCAAAATGCCTTACTGCTATTCTGATAGGACAGTGTCTCATTGTGAAAGAGCAGTTCACAATCTCTATACATGATTAACTAAAATAGGGTATCCTGTGACAAGTCTATGGGATTTATTAAAGATCAGTAAATAAATACACATTCACTGAATCCATGTTTGCCAAGATCATAACGAATCCCTGTTTTAACCTGCTTTGAGACTACAAACCCAGGGCAATGGCTATTTGTCACCATTAACCTATATAATATTTGAACCAGAGTACTAGAAAGTAAGCTACTCGCATTTCTTGAAAGCCATTTGGTTTCCTGTATTTATTGTTTGAATTGGAAGTGGTCCTGCACCAAAATTACGTATCCAAAGTTCCCTTACCTTTAGAGAAATGTGCATCATAATCTTTTATACAAACTGTTTTTAAAAAATTCCATAAAAGAACGTTCATTTCTATGGTTCCCGAAGATTTTCTTAACTTGTAGAAGTATCTGAAATGTAGATTCTCTCCTATTAGTAGTGGACAAAAATATTTGTCTGGCAGAAGTGGAAAAGGATTCAATTCCTATTTTACTGCTTTGCTATGGATTTTAGGAGAGACATGGCAAGAACACCCAACAACTTCCATAAATAGCTTCCTTATTTGCTACATAAAATTAAAGCAATGGATAACTGAGGAGAGTAATGACAATTTAAAATGAAAATCATCCCTAATTTGTATAACCTTATCTTTATTAGGGGTGCACTGATAGACATTTGGGGGGCCGATACCAATACCCAATTCTTAAGGAGGCATATCGGCCGATAGTGATCTGATTTCTGATACAGCTGAGTCCAGCTGGTAATGGTAAGTCAGTTGTGGTGAAAAGGAAGGGGAAGAGAAGGGCTGTACAGGGGCAGATCAACGCCCCTCCATGGTGAGGGACGGAGTGCGGCTGGGGCTAGGATAGGCGCTGCCCAGCTGGGGCGGGGTGGGCACAGGATGGAGCCATGGCTCATCGGGAGGCGGGGCGGGGCAGGTGGCTCCTGCCGCTGCGCGCTGCTTGTCCAGTGGCTCCTACTGCTCATCTGGGAGGGCACAGAGAGGAGCATGTGCCCCCAGATCTGCGCAGGGAGGGCATGGCGAGATGCAGCTGTGGGCTGGCGCCAGAGGCCATGCTGCACTGTACTCAGGGTGGGTAGTGACAGCACGCTGCCTGATCCCAGCCCACAGCTGCAGCCCGCCCTACACAGATTCTGGGGCACATCCCATCCCCCACCATAGCCTCCCAGATGAGCAGTGGGAGCCACCAGACAAGCGGCGCAGAGCAGCGGGAGCTGCCTTTCTCCCCTGCCCCCCACACCCCACCGGATGAGCCACAGCTCCATCTCATGCCTGCCCCACCCTGGCTGGACAGCACCTACCCCAGCCCCAGCCCCACTCCCTCCCTCACCCCAGGGGGGATTGATCTGCCCCCCACCACACGCTTTCCCTCCACCCCTACCCTTTCACCACAAGACTTACCAGCTGGACTCAGTTGTATCGGAAATCAGATCCATATCAGACAATGCACCTCCTTATTGGTATCAGTCCCCAAAACGTCTATCAGTGCACCCCTAATGATAAAGCAGAAGCCATCACAAAGCTGTAGTGGAAAACAGCAATGTCTCCATTAATATTCGATGGGTTATTAATGCTAACACTCTGATGTAGGGCTGCAAATTAGATTCATGATTTCTCCATCACTGAAAAAAAGCAGAGATTTTCAGGAGCAGGAGCTAAACTCAGTAAGTGAGAACCCTTTTGCCAACATCAGTTTTATAGGCTCACTCCTCACACCCCTCCCCCCACCCCCTCCCGGGGCAAACTTCCTCAATGCACAGTTGGCTCTACCAAAGTCAGTAGCAAAACTCCCACTGACTTCAGTGTTTGCAAGATTTCTCTCAGTTAATACTTATGTCTTCCAGTGCATATACCCATTTTATGAATGGTACACATTTCATAGCAGCATCTTTGTTAACAGAGCTAATAAAAATCAGTTACACTGCATTAATCAACCCCAGATTAAACTAATTACAAGTTATAGAATACCACACTGCAGTCTAGCAAGCATTTTCTTTGTTCTCTTACATTATCATAGTGGCTACTTATAAATAATTGTCATTGCCAGTTAGGAAGCACAGCTTGAGGATACTTAAAGTCTTCTCATTATTTTCATATGGCCCCATTTGCACATAGAATACTCACAAACACAAAGCAGAACCCTCCTTGAGGGGATTTAAAGCCTTAAAAACACAAGGTATACTGAACTACAAAATATGTTAAAATTCTGTACATTTAATTCTAAGGCTAGGGACAGAAGTTACACATAAACCAGTTTAAATGATGGGAAACTGCTTTACATCTGTAACAGAACAGAAGTTCAGTGTACATAAACTGCTTTCAAAATGGCGACAACCAACTGAAGATAAACCTAGCTGAATATAGTATCAGACTTAACTGATTTAGGTCAAATCAGTTTATGGAACTTCTGTCCCAGATCCCTTTCCCAATTCAAGTTAACTCACAGTCCCCCAGCATCCCAGGATGCTTTGCAGACCTGGGCTATGCCATCTGCTCCAGTGGAACAGGGACTGCCTCACTCCTCTGCTTCTTTCCAGCCTGTGTCCATCAGCCCATAGAAACAGGGCAAGGGAACAAATCCCCAGACACCCTAGCCAGGGTCTACACAGCATTTGTGGGGAGAAAAGCCCCTGTGGTGGGGGCTTTTCAACCCTCAGCAGCCCTTCCCCCTCCCCCTTCCCAGCTGCTGATTGCTTCAGCCACTGCCTCAGGAAGGAGGGGAAAGAAGTCCTCCCTGCTGGGTCCCTGCCCATGCAGCCCAGCATGGGGACACCAGCAAGTTTCTGCCTTGCTGAGCTTCCCATCACCCCAACCTGGGGCAGCCACTGGGAGGTGAGGAAAATTCTTCCCCTCCCAAACCCCAGGGCTGCTTGCCTCACCTGCTAAGAGTCTCAGGGGTAGTCTGGGGCAGCCTTAGAGAGTAGAGGAAAATTGCCCTGCTCCTCTACAGCCTGAGTTGCTACGAGTCTGAGGGTAAACTTTTTGCAGGGGAGTGGAAGAATTTCTTTCCACTCCCTGTGGCTACCCCAGGCTCTCTCTGAGACTTGCAGCAGCTCAGGCAAGAGGCCCTGGGGTTTAGGAGGGAAGAATTCCCCTCAGCTACCTGGAGCTGCGAGAATCCCTCCCAAGGTGAGGGCTCCCTGGTGCCCCCATGCTGGGCTGCATGGGCAGGCACCTGGCTCAGAGGACTTCTCCATCCCTCCTGTGGCAGTGGCTGAAGCAATCAACAACTGGGAAGGGAGACCCGGAGGGGGGGAGGACAGCAGGGGGTTGGGGGCATGTACTGGGGAGACAAATCTGGGACACTTGGCTGGGCTGGCAATGGCCAGCAAGCTAGGGGATGTGCTTGAACACCCCCTGCCTACTGACCTGGGTCAGTGCAGGCCTCCCCCTGCCTTTTCCAACT